ATTTTTATCCCCATCACGAAGCTCATTTGCCCGAGCACGAGCAGACCAATACGACTTTTCAAGTAAGTATAAGGAATCAAGTTAAATAGAAAGAGCATGGCACCTTTCTAATTTCTCACCATCCATAGGCCCCTCCTTGAGTGCCTTAATATCCTTCTCTGCCATTTTTATCTTCTTCTTAATAGAGCCAAAAGTCAAAGCTGCCTAACTTGCTAATCTCTCCCCACAAACTGCAATTCGTTGACGCAATCCAAGCCCACCCGAATCATCCCATGCCCCACTAACCGTGTCTTGGCAGCCTTCATTTGATAACCAATAGGATTTGAACTTGAACCCCGAACTAACCCCATCATCAATACATCTCTGCTCGGTGGACAAAATAATTGGTGCATGGTCCGACTTCAATATCGGTAAGTGGCGAACAACTATATTTGGGAACAAAGCACACTACCCCTCATCTGCTAGAAATCGGTCAAGCTGCTCCCTCACAAAAGTTGTCATTGAATTTTCTCTTTCCCAAGTGAACACACTACCTTTATATCCAAGATCCCGAAAAGCACATATATCGATAGCTTCGCGAAACGCATCCATAAGTCGCTCACTTCTAAGAACACCACCCTCCTTCTCGGACAAGCTTATATTTCATTAAAGTCACCAAACATCACACATGGGATATCATTAAGGCCTTTGAGTTGGGTCATAAGAGACCATGTTTGATGTTTATTAGCTTGTTCTGGCCACCCATAAATGCCAATATCCCTCCAAATAGGAACATTATTATCATCCAACACATGAGCATAAATATGATGAATAGAGTAAGACACAATCCCAACATTAACATCTTTCCACCACATCCCCAAACTCCCCCCCCCCCCCGACCTACCAATACTACTAAAACAAACATCATTCGTGTAACCACAATGATTTTTTATTTTATTTAGAATTTTTTCATCAAGCATAGTCTCCATTACAAAGACAATATTTGGCTTCTCCCTCCAACACATGTCTTGAAGGCCCCTAATTTCACGCGAGTTGCCAAGCCCGTGGCAGTTCCAGCTTAATATTTTCATTGTTTTTCGAGGGCTTGGACATCCCCAAGACCCTCTACTATAGACACGGTAAAACTAGAAGAGACACTACTGATATAGTGTTATTTGGTATGATTTTAGGGTACTTTTGAACCTTGTTTTCGTAATTATTTGACATCAATCAAAGTTCATTATTTATCCTATTTTTATACAAATTTTGTACCTTCCATGCTTCACGGGTTGTTTGTGTTTTTGATGTAATGTAGCTATTTTAAGCACTATATATGGACGTGATCAAGCATGAGTGAACAAGGAGAAGGGAAAGCTTGGTTGATAGAGCAATGGAGGAAGAAGGATGAGTGCCTTAAAGAGAAATGAAAAGCTTTTGGAAAGTTTTGGAAGGATTTTTACACTAAGGTCAATTTCAACTGACCAAAACTTTTATTCCACTCAACATTTTGAAGTGATTCAAATTGGAGATTAAATTTCATCTCAAGATCTTTCCAACGACTGGTCACATGCCTTATTCCGATGAGTAACAAAGAAATTATGACCTTCCAAAAATATGTTGTTTCGTTAGAAAAGGGTTGCACGTCAGGCAGTAGCTACTGGTCGTATTTTAACAGGTCTGCACGTCCGTGCAACCTTTGGCACGTCCGTGCCGACCTAAAGACGGGTCGTTTTCTCGTGTTCTCCGTCCTTTTACTTGGGGGTTATATAAACCCCTTTGGCTTCATTTGTAAAGGGAGGAAGACCTTCTTGCAGTATTTTTAGCTTAGGTTAGGATTTTTAGAGAGAGAAACTCTCATTTTTTAGAGAGAGAAAGTGTGAAAAACTTGTTGAAAGCTTGGAATATGAAGAATTGAAGGAAGGAGACTTGAAGATTTGATTATTTCTTGCAATATCAATGAGAATTTCTTACTCTCTCTCTTATTTTATTGCTTTAATTGCTTATTTTTGTATCTTTTCTAGTTTTATTACTTGTTTATGTTAAATTAGTGTTTGATTTCATGTTTTTAGTTGTTAACTACTTTAGTTTTGCAATTCATAATGATTTGTGAGTAGCTCTTTTACTTAAGATGGATGAAACCATTGATGAATTCACAAATACTTGTTTGCATGTGTTGATTTAGCTAATGTGGGTTGTTAATTAGTTGAGCTTAAGTGGTTTCATTGTTAGTTGTTGTAAGTGGTCATTGCTAGAACTATTTATCTAAGCTTTCTCAACGAAGAATCGAGAGATGAACTTGAGTTAGCTCCCTTATGCTTAATTGACTTGAAATGCCATGAGATTAGGAATTTCCAGTCAAGGGAATGTTTATGTCATCGTGATTATGCTTTAACACTTGTTTTATGCTTTGTAACCACGAGAGTAGGTTGTATTCATGACTCAAGTAATCCCTCTAGCTTGAGAGAGTAGTTAGGTGCCTTAGATGACTTCCCCTAATTTATCCCCAAATTGCTATGTTTTGTATGTTAAATTGTAGTTTGTGAATGGCTTAATTGGTGGATACCTTCCCAAGATCCTTTTTTATTATTGTTTGTAGTTTTTCTTTATAACTCAAAACCCAAAAAGACTTGACTTAGCTTATCACAAATCGATACTTGTTAGTGCTCCCCTTAGTCCTTGTGGGATCGACCCTTACTTGCCCTTTCTACCCATTAGAGAGACCAAATTAAGTTTTTATCTTTGGTAGGCTCGACGACGACCTATCAACGATTCACACAAAGTTTCTGCTTTTTCTCAGATTGGGCAGGTAGAAAATCTTGGGTAGCCACGTTCATAGCCTCAATATTCCTCTTCTTCGAACCAGAAACTCCTTCACCACTTTCCCTAGTATCCAAAGCCTCAGACCCATTGTTGTCAAAAGCCCAAGGTCTTCCATCTAAAACTTTCCTCCTATCATCAGCATTGAAGAATTGGAAGATAAAAAGGTTGGTATCAACAGACCTAATCGCTACATTCTCATCAATTCGCCATATGTTTTTCAAAACCCTCTTCATTGCTTCAATATTGAAAGTTCTCTTGGTAAGTAGTTTACCTAGATAAAGCGATCTTTTGTTGCGGAACAACATCATCCATCATAGCACTCGAACCACCAAGGACAAAATTCTCTTCGTCAGTCAGTTTCAGATTTTCCCACTCTTTCACCAATTGGTCATCCATGATAAACAGAGCAAAAAACAGAGGAAGATTGATGATTATGTGGAAAGACAGGATTAAATTGCATTAACCATTATTGTCTCTACAAGTCTACAACCACCTCTACATCCTCCCTCTAAAGTGACCTTCGCCAACAAACAAACGAAATGAGCAAGAAATTAACCAAAAAATCAAACAAAAACAGCAACAACAAAAAAAAACAGAAAAATTACTAATCACAAAATAGTAGTATTATCTCTAGCAAAAGCCAAACAAGAATTAGCAAACCTCATCAAGTTGTATAATCCCCATTCCCCAAAAACTCAGCCTATGGATGATGAAAAAAAATAGTAGAATTAGAAAACTCATTTCTGTTTCATCCAAAAGATCAGCTTCATGGGTATGAAGTTGTTGGGAGGATTTGGGACTTTAGTGGTCAATTTGCAAAATATTGAGGGTTTTTTGTCCAAAAAAAGTTTCATTAAACAAGAAACAGCAAGGAAGAAGCTACAAAAAATAAAACCAAAATTAATAAATTTAAATATGAGGCAGTAGTAGTATTTATTAATAGTCAAAAAGCACAATACTTAAAATAAGAAGCAAGTAGTACAAAGGTAAATTAATAGTAGAAGAATGATTGAGTTTAGAGTAGCCTGGGTTGTAGCACGCAATGCGCTATCCTTAGAGAGAAAACGCCCCACTACACTGGTAGAATGTATTTATGCGCTCCTCTCCCAAGATAAGACAACCCGCCGGATCAATTGTGTGCAGCAAAAGACCCCCGAACCTAATTACACCAATGCTCCGTAATAATTATAGTATTGCTTTTAAAGAGAGAATATTGTAAACACTATTTTTCTCTGAAAGTATTTTTTCACCTCTTGATTCTCGTTTGCCGTCACTTAGAATTATATATATAGGAAAACAAATGAAAATTAACCGTTATCAAATATGCTGACTTTGTTATATGAATGTGGACATTATGCTCCATGAGTGGCTCAATAGTTATCCCAACTTTCAAGCCATGCAACGTTAATGTTCCTTAATAGTAGGAGGTTAACAACTCAAGCAAGATTAAAAACAAAATCTAACGCTAATTAAAAGAAAGTATCCAAAGTTTATAAAATAAAGTTATCTTTAAATTTTAAATTAAAATAAAAGAAAATAGATTTATTTTCCAACAACAATTTGGTGCTTCTCCTTCTAGCCTCCCTAGAAGCTATTTTGGGCTTCTTGTTCAAGTGTTTCTATTTCTTGAAAACCCCTTGTTTGGCCCAGACTCTATTTTTAGATTGAGAAACACTTTTAAAAGCTAGGCCAAATACTACCTTATTAAATCCTTTTTAGTGTATTTTATAAGATATATAAGATAAGTAGAACTGTGAAGCACCAATGTAAATTTTCTAATCTAATCTCTCAATTACATTAGGAAATCTCCTTGCAAGCCTGATGTTTATTTTTCTTACCTTTCCAAAAAAATCAGATTGATCAATAATTAACTTGATTTCTTTCCTAATTTACTGTGATTATGTTTCCAAACTTCAAAAGTCTTTTAGATTTTTTCCATTTTTGAGCATGTTTGGTAAAAGAAAATGACTGTAATTCAATTACTATTGATACACTCATTATTGTGTTAGAAAAGAATAAGAACATTGATTATTTGTTTCCATCAAAAAAAAAATCTTGATTTGTTTCCTTACTTTCTATGATAGAGTTGTAATGTATCTGTATGTGAATTATTGGTGATAGTTCCCTTCTAGGATTAATTTGCAATCTCATCATAAGTACCTAGTGTCTAAGCAACATTGGCAGAAATGAAAAAACATACCATGGGATCTTTAAATAAAGAATTATTTCCCTGCAATTTCTGCGCGTTGTTTTTAGGTATATGGATGATGATATGGCTGCTGATAGTGGAAAGAACTGCAAGAGCAACACATGTGGGTAGTCTTTTTGAAGGTGAAAAAGTATCTGAAATGCCGTCTGCCAATTTGAGACGTAGTCTACTTGACAATGGCCTTGGTCTTACTCCACCAATGGGGTATATATGAACTTCTTCTTGCGTATCCTTTTCATAAATTTATGTGAGGTTCGTTAGCATTAGAGTTATATTTTCTTCTCTGGTTATAGGTGGAATAGCTGGAATCACTTTGGCTGTAATGTCGACGAGGTAACAATCAGAGAAACAGGTAACAGTTTTCTTTATTGACAGTAATTGCTCACTTTGGAAGTGCTATGTAATGTATTTAGTACGAAGATTAATTGCTTTATTATAAAATTCTCTTGCAGCTGATGCAATCGTGTCAACCGGCCTAGCATATCTAGGATATAAATACATAAACATTGGTAAGTCATATGTTTTATGTGATTTAATTTTGTTAGGCTGACTGCTATTTCTTGTAGTACTTATTCTATCAGTTACTGTACTGCACCAGATGATTGTTGGGCAGAGCTTAACAGAGATTCTGAGGTAGTGCTGATTTCGCTTTCATATATCTCTTGTTAGCTTGTGTTTTTACTTGAATTGCCCTTGTCAAATCTTTATCATTTTGTCCAAAATAGGCTAATTGCACACTTATATCAGGGATACTTGGTCCCCAAGCTTTCGGCATTTCCATCAGGAATCTTTGCACTAGTGTATGATGTGCATATCAAAGGGCTGAAGATCGGTATCTACTCAGATGCAGGGTATATATTCAATAAGTTTGCCATCATATTATACTTGCAGTAATATTCACTTTTATTAGTTGTCGACCCCAACTATGGGATTAAAGTGTTGATTGATTGATTTCAGAACTCAGACTTGTAGCAAGACCATGCCAGGATCACTTGGTCATGAAGAGCAAGATGCAAACACCTTTGCATTGTGGGTGAGCTATATTTTTCCTTAATATCCAAGCAAGCAATTTCATTTGCAAATGTTAAATGAGGGAAAATGTATCAGAGTTTTCTTCTCAATTGTTATTGATTTCTTTTAACTTTTATTTTTTATTCATGTCTGATTAGGGTATTGATTATTTGAAATATGATAATTGTGAAAACACTGGGATAAGCGCAAAGGAAAGGTATGTACATCTACCATTATGATAGATAATTAAGTATATCAAAGCTGTATAGTATTTGTCCACGAATTGTTCTGTCAAACTGATAATTTGTTGTTTAGGTACCAGTGTCTTCTCCTCTTCCTCATATGTCCTGCTAACGCGTGTGCGCTTACACTCATTAATTATGTATAGGTACCCTAAAATGAGTAAGGCCTTACTAAACAGCGGCAGGAAGATATATTACTCCATATGTAATTGGTAAGTTACTCATCAGAACTTATTCTGTTTCTGCTAAACAGCGCTTCCAATAGTAGATACTTTTGTATACAACCGAAAATAAAAGTAAAGAGGAATATCGATCTTGTAAGAAAATGGTTCATACAGAAACTTGTTTATGAGCAGGGGAGAAGAAGATCCTGCAACATGGGCCCCAAGTATTGGAAACAGTTGGAGAACAACTCTTGATATCCAAGATAAATGGGATAGGTGAAAGTGATGTTGAGGTACTAAGGTACTAGCAAACCCACATTACCACGGGCTCCCGGGCGGGCCTGCATTGCCCACTAAGGTACTAGCAAACCCACATTACCACGTCCGCATGACGAGAACCACTTCTCTCCTGATCTTCTCCAGCTCTTTAGTCTTTACTTATTACTAACAGCTTGTGTTGCACAATATTTTTTCTAACAGCTTGTGTTGCACTATTTTTTCTGTATTTTACTTGGCAGTAACTTACGGCCGTACCAGATCAAGTAGTGTTTATTACAATTATGTTGTTTGAGGACCTGTTGATCATAATTGATTTAAGTAATGCTCGATACATACATTCAGTGTCCTTAGGCCGGTCTCTCACTCTCTCTCCCTTCGTTGCCTCATTACTACTCCGTACTCATTAAACTGAATCTGCTTTCGTACAAGACAGTGGCAGTTCCTCCAGTAGCCCTGTGTATTATGCTCACTTGGCTGCATGTTGTGCTTGGTTTTATGTCCAAGGGGAAGCCTATGATACTGCAACCTCAAGTGGAGGTGTGGACATCAGCTCAAGACCTGATGCTGAACATTAATGTACTTGTTAACTTTGTTTTGCGTGGATTAGTCTTCGTACAGGCTTATTAAGGTTACAATTATCTCCTTTCTAAAGATGTATCGTTTTTTATTTTGAGATCGTCTGTGTTCTTTTCAATATATATTCTCGCAACATGTGATATTTGAGCTAATATAGCAGACATTTTGCTGAGCTATGCCGGTGCTGACAGCTATTACATGATCAGTCGGTAAGGACTAAGGAGAAGGACAGCTAACCGTACCTCAACCCTCACGGTTTTTTTGGTCCGGTACTTACAAGTCAGACACTTTGAGAGTGAGGGGAAAGATTAAGGGATCTTCACTCTCAAAGTGTCCCTAATAAGGTTGAAAGGTACAATCCTTACCACTAGACCAAGCTTAGCGTGGTACTATTACATGATCAGTTGGTCACTAAAAGACTCATGTAGATAAGTGAATGCTAGTTAAAGGCTTATTTGTCATTTCTCTTCGTATAAGTAAATACATAACCAGTTCAGTTCCCAGTTCGAGTCACTCAATATCAACTTCAATGTGCTAATGTTCTAGATATAAATCGAATATAAAAATACGGAGTTATACACAAGCATTCAGTATTGAAGCAAAATCACAACTGCAAATCTGCGATTGTATGGACATATTTTTGCTATTATCAACAAATTCACTAAACTAATACTCGTATTGATTGCATGTACAAACCCATAAACACTTCTCTTGGCATTCCAAAAGAAGGGACTACCTACAGTAGTTATCTTAAGAAAAAATGACCAGATAAACTGGAAACCTAGCTATCTGATGTATAATAATAACTATAATCAGCAAAACTATAATCAGCCCTGCCATAATAAATGACAAGACTCTATAAATGTGGAAAAAAGGAAGTGTGAGGCGAACAGACCAAGGAAAACTGGAATATCTCAATGATTCCATTAATATATGTCACATAGACATTAGAGAGACCAGCATTACCAGCACACCAAATAGTATTTCCGTGTAAGAAGGATTCATTGATGAAATGCTGCTACTCAGCTGTCCTGTATTCACGTATGTATTTGAATTTGAGCCGGTACTTGTAGAAACATTTACAGACTGAGAACCTGCACAAACACACAATCAACTTAGTATGCACAACCTGACATCAAAAAATATGGCATAAACTTCTAACCCCCTAGATAGTTGAAGCAGATAAGATTCAGATTAAATGCAGAAAATCAATGATGTAAAAAAGGCTGAAATTAATATCCACTTACAATCATAGTTGACCCATCCAACCCGTTGGTTAGCCAAGTCATATACAACAATTTTGTCTTTTAAAACAAGATCTGCAGAAAATAATGATAATGTTTATTAAAATGGATAAAGCAGGAGCATTTAGGGAAGAATAGAAAACAATAGGCCATTGCAAATCAGGTTACTAAAACTTGAGATTTTTAAGCAAAGCAAATAGCTATATTAAAAAGAGAAATAGCAAAACTATAATTTCTTAATAAAAGCTTACCTCCTAAAATTGTCATCCCCTGCCCATCGATTTTCTGAAATCCCATGCACCACACTGCAGCTCCAGCCTGCCACCATTAATTTCACCGATTTAGTTGTAGTAAATTAAAGCTTTGATTTTATTCAGTCTTTAGAGACAGCTTACGAGTATATTATAGAGCTAATTTCCTCTAGATTACATTATCGGTTATGATAATATGTTTTAAAAATAGGATGGATAACAGTCAGATGTCTTAGACATTAACTACTCTTTCACAACAGAACTAAGGTATAAAAAAAACTTACGATAGAGTTCTGCTCCAATAGATAGTCTCGTGGTTTGAGAGCCATGGTTGCACCACCAGCAAAATTTAAGTTGACTTGAGGAAATACATCATCGACACTGGATGTTATCAGATAACATGTGTTTCCCCTAGATAATAAGGGACGCACAGACTGAGAAACAACAGAAGAGATCTGCAAAAGAAACGTAGAAAGTTTATATTCTGGAACTCCGATTTCTTTATAATGACAAATGATAAGAAAACATAGTCTTTTTCAACAGCTAAAGGTCATCCATACTCAAATGCTTAAGGTATTATAGGTTGAACACCATTAATTACTTCCAATTAATTACAAGTTGATAATTGAAATTTAGTACCAATGAAACTTACCGCACTCACGAAAGGATCATAAGCCTCTTCAGCAAGATAAGCCAAGGTTGTTCCTGAATCAATTATCGTTCCAGCATTGGTGGATGTAGTAAACGCTGAAGAATCAATGGCCAGCTTTTGGCCATTGACAGAAATGCTCTGCATATTTAAATTGTAGTGTGGCCTGCAAGTTGGAAATAAGTAATCAGAATAGCTCTTACTACAATAACAAGTACATGGTTGTATGACACATCGGATGAACCATGATAGGCTAAGGCGATAACATTAAGATATTCATTAGGCGCAATAAAAATTGTTTTGACCATTTTTTTTTTTCCAGAATCAGAGGTACATCAGAAGAACTGAGATTCACACAAAGTTGGCAAAGTATTTATCTGTGCTTTCTTGATTACCTTTATACAAATAACAAACTTTGCATTTAAAAATGGTCACAGACTTACAGTATAAGAATTTTTCAGCCTGAATTGTTTTTCACACAAGAAGAAAAGCAGGAAAAAAGAGAGAGGAGTGTGTCATAGAAGAAGAATCCCAGCAGAAGAGTAAAAGACAGGTTTTCTCTTTTGATTTGTTGAAATAGGTAATTTTTTTTTTTTTCCGGTGTCCTCTTTAAGAAGACAGATTCCAGTATCCTAAAGGATACCACTAACTGGGTCGAGAATCAAACACCATCATTAGTTTCTAAACTGTAGTAATGACGCTTTTGAAATAGCAAGTAAACACAATACATTATAATGACTAAGCCTCGTCCTAAGTAAATGAAAGCAAACATATCCCACACAAAAGGATAGTGGCCTTTAGCCCTTAACAATCATCATTAAGCATTTGCTTTTGTCAGCTTTTTCTTGTTATATTCTTGTATCATTAATTCATTTTTATGTTGATGCAAAGCAATGAGGGAAGCAACCAATAGACAATCGTTAACACTATGAAGAAGAAAGGAACATACATTGATGGTACAAGGGGAGTATAAACAATCCCGGGCTCCACAATACTCCCAAGGACCATTATTCCTCCACCATTATCATCTCCCCTCAAGCAGTGGGAGAATGCTGCTGGTGTTATCCCTTGTGTCGACAATTGCGTGACAACAGACATTGCCTGCTGACCAAACCCGAAAATCCCATCCACTGCTCTATCTGTCTTGGTTAAGTCCCCAGTCTGAGACACACTACAGCTGTACCACAAATTTAAAAACCAATATTAGTCAATCACATTTAAGCTATAATTCATATAAAAATCTAATCCTCCTACACTAGATTGAAAGACTCTTTGATTCTTACCCAAAGATGACTTTAGCTGAGCTGTTAGAAGATTGAGTGTTCCCAACAATAGTCTCGAGATGCAACAAATCAGATACATAGTAACCCTGAGTTCCACTACCATCACCATACTGAAACTGATAAGCACAATTGTTTGAGTTGTCACAAAGGGCATCAGCATATTGAGCTCCCATCTTACACCGTTTATCGGAGCAAGAGATTACGGATGATGAAGATGAGCTTGATGGGTTGAATTCATTAAGTTGAATGTCCTGTAAAAGGTCCAATTAGTATTGCACAACAACAAAATCAAGTCTTTCTAGATTAATTTACTTCAAATCTTTTTTTGCTTCAGAAGTTTTGATAACAAAATTGAAAAAATAAATACTAAGTAGTAAATTAAGAAGAGTGAATATACTTGAAGTCCAGTAGTTCCAGGACAACCAGTGCATCCTGTGCAACCAATCCACAAAACATCACTTCCTGTATCAATCTGTACATTGAATTCTTGTGCTGGAGACCCTAGTTGTACCTTCGTATAGTATAGCCTAAAAATACAATATTGTCAACATTACAAAATTAGAAACTTCACTCTCTACATAAAATTCAATTTATTGGTAAGGTGCACCATATAATGACATTAGCGATTTTACTGTTAACGTGTTTTGGAATTGGACAAGTTTGGTACAACCGGTCGTATGGGGCAGGCAAGTGCCCCGTGCATCATACGTATGGTAGTAGAAATTAGATTGGTGAAATTCTACTCATACATTTATTTATTTTTTCAAAGCAAAAGGAAAATGAAAAAAAAAAAGTTGTTTGAACAAAATACCATAAAAAAAAAAAAAAAAAAAAAAAAAGTGATTAAAGCTACCAATATATGGCCACTAACTAGGTTTCAAAAAAAAAAAAAAAATGGCCACTAACTATTAATAATTGAATTATAAATAAAAAGTTGGCAGATATCAATCATATGATTAAAGCAATAACAATGAAACAGAGCAAAACTTCTACATGAAGTAAAAGGTTCTATCTTTAGAAACAACCAAATAAAGAAAAAAAAAACAACATAAATATAGAAATCATATCAAATCAAATCTTATAAAATAAAACTAACCCAATAAAATTCACATCAATTTTCAAAAACCCATCAAAATTCACATCAATTTTCAAAACCCATCAAAATTCACTACATCAAATCTCAAAAAAAAAAAACATTAAAAAAATTATGTTTAACTAGAAATGAGTCAAATTACCCAACACGGTACGGATTAAAGGTTCCGGCAACAGGGAAATCAACAACTCCATTAACTGACTGAAGCGCACGGCCGTGCCGAGCACGGTCGTGCGCTCTAAGTTGACTCACTTCAACTCTGTCTTTTAGAGGGATAGCTCGGTGAAGATTTAGGGTCGTCGGAAAACCGCCGGAAACCACCGTCGCCGGCGAAAAAGCGCCGGAAAGTATTACCCAGATGCAAATAGTTGCGTAAAAGTTCGGATTCATTGCTTTTTGTTGAACTTGAATTTTCTCTCTCTCCTACCCCTACCAAGAACTCAACCAGAATTGGAGGAGAGAGAAAATTTGTAGTAATAAATTAATTGAATTTATATACTTTATAATTAATAAATTGAATTAAAGTATAATTAGGGAATGAATTGGGAGTATATATGTAAAATTAATTAATAAATAATTGATTACAAGATCGAAAATTGCATGTTTTTGCAGGATGATTTAGAGAGAGAAAGAGAGACAAAGTTAGAGAGAGAAAGTGAAGAGCAGGGGAAGAAGAAGCAGCCGACTAGGAGAGTTTGGATTACGTTAGCATTTATATGTTCTCTGCTTTTACTTTTTTTTTTTCTTTTTTTTTTAATTAATTTGGTAATTAATTAATAAAATAATTTCTTTAATATACTTTATATTTAATTGTAGACCAACCTTTGTAATTATGAGAAAATTCTTTGATCTTCTTATTTGCCTTTATTTTGGGAGGAGATTAAAATTGTTTAAGCTACCTCTTTCGTTGCAATTTCCTTCAACTACCAAATAATTAAAGGCCATGTGCTTAATTATATGTTACCCCTAGTATGGGAAATTCTATAGAAATTTTCACTCTTTGAATATCTTTTAATTTTATTTTTTTCGAATGAATAATAATAACTATACTAATCTATTAAAAGGCATCACTAAGAACGTCTTTGTGCCACTTAGATCATGTCACGTCACCTATTTAACTATGTTATAAACATGAAAATAAATGTATATAATTAATAATCACAAGGTCTAATTAAAATAGCAATCGATGCAACGCTCGGGCTTCACACTAATTTGTATATTAAGATGCATATTGCATAGTATATGGCCCTATTCTTAAGAGTTGCTCTACTCTGCTGAAATCTATTTTGCAATAAATTTTTCATATTTTTCAATGCATCTTTCTAAGGCAATCAGAATAATTTAACTCCAATTAGTCTGTTTACATTTACTTAATTTCAGCTCAGTTCAATTTAGTTCAGTTCCTAATTTTCCTCGCTCATTAAATATTCATTTCAACTCAGTTCCGTTTAGTTTAGTTCAGTTCAGGTCCAATTAGTTTAGTTCATTTCAATTCAATTCGGTTCAGCTCCAATCAGTCCAGTTCATTAAATGTGAACAGGCCCTAAGTATGTAATTTAAAAAGATAACTTGATTATTTTTCTTAAGAAAAATCTAATATTTATATATATATAAAGGGGAGTTTTTCCCCGAGTTTTTAAAGAGCCACGTAGGATTTAATTTTCTTAGCGCGCCATGTAGGATTATAAATTTAAGTTGTAGCCAATTAAGTAAGAGATTATTAATTTCTTTTACAATTAAATAATTCAAATGTCACGTAAGCAAAATTGACGAATGAGATTTCAAAGTTTAAATTAATTAAATACAAAATATTATCTTTTGGGATTAGGAATTTTATCTAATATTTTAAAACTAATATAATAACAATTTTAATCACATAAATATGTAAAATATTTTTTAAAAAAATACTAACAAACCGTACATCGCACGGGCTTCATCTAGTAACTTAACAAAGGAAAACAACCCTTTTTTTTTTTGAAGAAACCCAAAAAATTATACTTCGTAGTATAAATTTTTAAAAAAATGATTAAAGAAAGACAAGCTAATTTACTCGGCTTGTTTGCATTAGAAGTTCCCCTCGTGAGGAAGGGTTTTTTAATGTCCTCTATTTTTCTTACCTTTATAAAAAAGAATTTTAAAATTAAAAAAAAAAAAAAAATAATAATCTGCTTGCCGTAATTTTCCTTGGATTCAGCAAAAGCATAGCTCTCTTCCTTTTGCTTTTCATCATGAAAATAAGAACTATAATTAAGAAAATATGTTCAATGTTCTTCCTTAATTCCTTTTTAGAAAATGACTATAGATTTTTAATACACTTATATACTAGATCGAAGATCAATCAAAAGTTAGTAATCACATTTTACATCAATCCAAAGCATACGAAGTACTCTTACTAAATAATCGTGCTTTTTCATCCTATATTCTATTTTCTTAATTCTAAATAAGTTTAAAGTTACCAACAATAATGAGTATATTGATTGAATATATACTGTGTGATTGAGATGATTAAAGTTTGTTGTACGCTTAATTAATGATACACTTGCATCATAAAAGAGTTGTAATAAATTGAATAACCTCGGATACTTTCAATGTTTTAAGATGTTTGCAATTTACAACCTCTTGGGATCAACTCTACTACAGGCACTTTGGAGTGTGAATTCTCTCACCCTTTCCCTTCACTTCTAATGTGTCTAGCCCGTTAAGCTAGATCAGGAAGATCCTAAAGAGGTTTTGACTCAATTGGACATTTTCCTAACCAACCCAAAATAAAAACAGCTAACAATAAACTATTTGAGTTTATGGGTAGATGACTTCATTAACCTAAAAACAACCCAATTGAGGTTTATTAGGAGTAGGCTAGATTGATTATGTACTAGCTGTTAGTGAGATGGTACAAGTTTATGTAATGTACTAATGTTGCATGAGAAATAAACCTACTAAAGCTTAAATGAAGAAAGCAAAGTGCATAGCATGCCAATTTATTTGGTGCCTACATCACACATGAAATCACTCGAGGGATACTTAAATGTTGGGAAGAATGACGTAATTGTATCTTTGTGGTTGTATTCCTTAGAAACATCTTAACTACTCGATACTTGGAACATAATATATCTCATATTATGGGATTTTTTTTATTACAAATTTGTTTCATAAAGGCACGTTAACTTAATATATTCAAATTGATAATGACAACTAGTCAAGTATTCTAGAGCATATCTTAAAATTAGAATTCTTATATTTAAATTTTTATTATTATGTTCAAATTAAGTGGAATACAAATGGGACTTGAAAATGGGACTTGAAAAGGGGACAGAGGATTTTTCCCTATTACTATTATTATTATTATTATTATTATTATTATTATTATTATTATTTGGAACCAAGAGAAATCAATTAATTACATAATTTATTTTTTTTTAATTGTTGCTAAATTATACGGAGTACATTACATCGTATTAGGCCGTTATTGACCACTTGACTTGTGTCCCTGACCCACGTCTAACGAATCTATCAAAGTTTAGATAAACAAAATACTAGTCTAACGTAGCTTGGAGTCGCAGTCCATTAAACTAAAAAAACGACTAATTGCAGAGTAGTAGTCTAGTAGATTCTATTAACTCCCTAATCACTTTAGTTATATATGCATTATTCGAAAACTGAATAGTTTAGAAAGAAAAGGAAGGTGGAGATTGAATATACTTGTGGATAGTGAAATTAAGTCGGGGAAATGAATTAAACAACAATTGAACAATGATTATCTCACCAAAAAAAAAAAAAAAAAAAAAAAAAAAAAAAGAAAAAAGATAGGAAGGTATCAACAGGTCAACAACCACTAATGAAATCAAATTGAGGGTGAGAGAAAGTTTAAGTGGTTATAGTTCCCTTCCGGTTCCAAGTGACCCAAGAATCGATTCTCATCACTTGTCTTTGTGGCTCTCTAAAAAAAAACTAATGAAATCAAACAAATTAAAGATTTTTTGTTTCATCACTTTTTAACTAAATTCTAAAGTTAAATTAGATTTAATTCAATAATATATTTAGACAAGTTCAAATAATTTAATATAAATAACATTTTTAGACTATTTCAAACAAAACACTCATATAATAAAAAATTTAAGTCAAATTAAGTCCAAAAAAACAATTAAACTAAACAAAGCATAAATATCACCATTCAAAATCCTCTTTTATTGTTTATTCCTCCAGCTTTCGATTAATCACAACACATTCCTTAAATTATTATTATTATTATTTTTTTTAACCATTTTGGCTAATTGCAACACTTACAACGAAGCACTCATTGTGTGACCAAATTAAAGCATACGAATGAAAGATCTTATGTATTCACATTATGAAACTCGTGTAAACTAGTCAACAACATGCATGGTCAACACATGATGGAGAAATTTTCATTTTAGAAATGTAGAAATGGCATTTTAGGTAACGCGTAATGGCGTATAACCTGAGCTGCCCACAAATTAATAAATTGACTTTTATATTTGATAAATGATAATGCAGCGTATTATAGGTCAACCACCAATTAACCCAGTCTTTGGCGTCATCCTTTCAACCTCTGACATCTGCCACCCAGCCGCCGCCACTTCTAGAAATTTACAAGTAGTATTTCCTTCCTCTGTACGTTTTTACTTGACCGCTTTGACTTTTACGTTATTCACCACCTCTCCTTTGACCTTTGACCGTCTTTTGTGAATGATATGTAAGGAAAAATATATTCATATGATATCTTTTTTAATTCGTCTCAATAAGTACTATCGTAATATACAACTTTTATAATTTTTACTTATGAAGAATTAAAGTTATTGATCGCTAAAGTTTTGCATTGACAATTGTGATAAAAGAAATAGGTCAAGTAAAAAAGAACAGAGGAAGTATACTTCAATTCGATTTACAAAGATATCGAACCGGTTTTGCTTGGACCAAACTCAAACCGAACTCATTAAATCGGTCCAAAATAGATTTTTTCGGCTATATTTTTTTACAAAAATTTACAGCAATGTAATAATTAAAAAAAAGATTGTATGGCTGTTTCGAACGTTCAATGTAATTTAATTCTAACACGTACCAAAAATTTAAACATAACTTTGTAGTAAGGTTTTTAATTTTTATTCATAGGTATGAAATTATGACCAAAAAAATCAGTTCAATTCAAGATCGATTTTAAGGGTTTTGGACAAGACTGAACCGAAAGCTAGAATTTTAAATTTCTCAATCTATAGACTTGGTCGGTTCTCTTTTGTCTGGTGTAGTTTATTTTTTCTATTTTGGATCGATTTTTGAATATCATCCGTACTATTCACATATATACATTTGACTCATACCCGAGATTAAACATGGTTATGCCACTCGATTATGTGACTATGTGAATCAGTGAGTGCTCGTTAGAATTATCTTTGTTAATAGTTTTTGTCATGGTTATGCCACTAAACTAAGCTTAACTTATTAGGCTAGTTATATCCTTAAATCTTTACTAATCGAGTTAATTGTTATACTTAGGAGTGGCAATTCGGGTCAGTGGGTCGGGTTCGGGTCAGATTTCGGGTTAATTTCGGGTTGTGTTTAAAAACTATCAAAAATAGTTTAAAACTTAATATTATAACAATATATGACATTTTGGTCAAATCGGATCGAATTCGGATTGTTCGGGTTTGGGTCGGGTCGGATTCAGGTTTCTCTCGATAACTTCGGGTTGGATTCGGGTCGAGTTATCGAGTCGGGTCAGGGATTGCCATTCCTAGTTATACATGATCGAAGAACAATACTCATCAGGTAGTACTTACCCATCTTCTCCCTGGTCCACGCACACTAATATTTTCAAATACTTGAGGACGTTTTACAAAGAGCATTTCAGGTATCAATTAAATTTTCACATCATCAAAAAGCATTATTCATTGT